TATAAATATATAAAAATACACATATATAAATATACACACATTTAGAAACACATAAACAACACATATATATAAACAGATAGAACAACAGTTATAAACAGATAGAACACACACAGACAAATATATGTAATAAATATATATATAAATATATAAAACTACAAATATAAATATATCCACACATTTACAAACATAAACAACCCATATATAAACAGAACACACACACAAATATATAAATATATGTAATAAATATATATATAAAATACACATATATTCATACATATAAACACACATATATATCTATAATTTATATACACAGATACTGGCGGTGGTACCTTGATGGCCTGCAGGTCCGTGTCCTGTTTGTAGCAGTACAGGATGATGTTGTTGGTCATGCTGAAGCTCTCTCTCACTCCCAGGTGGTAGAAGAGTGAAGGCTGACAGAAGGTGTCGCTCATCTCCACCACCGCCACATCTGCATGGGGACACATGGGTTTAGACACAGCCGTGTGAGACTGACTGCGTCCCAACACTGGGCTCGTGCCCGGACTTGCCTGCGTTGTAGAAACTATCCAGAATGTCAGTGGCTCCCAGAGAAATCCTCTCGAACGAGATGGTCCTGAAGAGGGCGTGCGCGTCGGCGCAGGCTTCCTTCACACACGTCAGGGACAGGTTCTCTTCCGAGTGCGGCACCGCCGCGTCCTCGCTGACCACGTACGCCACCGATACTTCTCTGCCGCGACTCCGCGGAGAGTCGTTGTGCTTAACTGCGCCGCCGCTGGCGGTCAGCTCCAGCGCCACGGAGTCCTGCCAGAAACTTCCAGCGGAAACGCGCACGGGATCTTTCCTCTTCATTTCGTGCAGGCTCATGCGCCTGCTCATTCTGCGGCGCTCCGTGGTGAACATGTCGGCAGAGCAGGGCCACGGCGCTCGGAGGATATTCTCTCGCTCCTTCCCTCGTCCTGCTCCTCTCCAGGTGCGTCGGCGTGTCCTCACAAACACTCCTGCCGAGACTCCTCTCTGCTGTGACACACCCTCCGCTGCTCCTGCTCCTCCCGCTGTGTCTTCGGGCTGAAACCCAAGGTTTGTGGCTCGTGGACGACTCTCTCCTGACATCTGCTGCTGGGTGCCGTTACTGCCCTGAAGAGGAGTTTGACATAAGTTGGTTTGTTAAAAAAAAAAAATAGAAGGCGAGGCAGTTTGACTTGAAATAAATAAGGGGCGCGGTTCGAGTGAGGGGCGGCTCTCTGACAGCCATGCTTCACTGCATAGTAACACAGCCACACACAGAACCCCCCCCCCACCCGCGGTGGCAGCTAACGGCATTGAATCTGAAAACAACATTTAATTTATACTTTCAAAATTATGCAATAAGTGTTTCTGAACAACAGGGGGAGTTCAGGATTGTTGAGAATGAGCTTCTGCTGCTCTACATTTACTTTAAATTTTAGGGGGGAGGTTGTGGGACGGGGGTCGTCGACATGTTTTAAATACTCGAAGAAAAAAAAAACAACAGTTTTTCACAGTGTTGCTGGAGGTGTACGGTCACACGGAACACCAGGTGCTCAGCTCTGTGATACCCCAGGGCCAGCGGTCATAACTCAGACATGTTTTTTTTGTAACAATACTGTCCCACATGTTCTCAACCCACGGCCCGTGGTATCAGACTACAGTTATAGCACACCCTTCAGGGGAGGCTAGCAGCCAGAGCTACATTTAGCTAGCATTTTACAACTCTGTAAACACATTAGCACACAGTGGTTCAGATCCTGGTGCTGTACAGGGGTCACAAATACCACATCAAGTATTTTAGATGTTTTTGAATTTTCTCTCCATTAAAGGTCCTTCAAATATTTTTATTACAATTCTCAGGAGAACTTGGATTAAAAAAAAAAACCCAAAACACATCAACTGATCCTCCTGCCAACAGGGGGCCCTTTAACCCCTCTGACCCCATGAGGAAACATCCATGTTCTTCTATAAAAACACATAAAAAAGTGATGTAATATGAATTAAATGATCATTTGTATCTTTATTTACAGTAGAAAATTTTAAATTTACCACGAGTACTGTGATCCTGACACCAGCAAAAAATACCTTTTCAAATACACAATGAACAGTACTGTGTACTACTACGAAGAAGAAGAAAAAAAAAGACCAACAGCTGTTGGTGTGGTTACTGTGGATGGACCACATTATACACAGTGGAGTACGACGACGGCCTGTATACACTGTACACACTGTGGGTCGAGAATGAAGTACTTGACAAAAATCTCTGCATGAAAACAAAAAAGAAAATTCTTTTTTTTTTTTTTTACTATGATCTATGAAGCTTCACAGACACTGGACAAAAGAAAAAAAAACCTGAGAGTTGGACGTCTTCTCAGAGACAGCTGTGGCAGGACGACACCGGAGGTCAGAGGCAGAACCACGGTCACCGACATAACATGATGCTGTACGGACACACTGTGATCATCTTCATCATCTTCATCATCATCATTGGGAACAATCATAAATGTCACCCAGTAACATCTGAACCTGCCTGGTACTATTTAAACTCATCTTCTCAGACTGGTACTGATCACTGTCCTTGAAGGTCCACAGATGATCAATCAGTGAACCAGCCAATCCACGGCTGCCTTTCTGTTGATAATTTTGTCTTTTAGATTTTATATTTTAAAGCTGGATTTGCAGTAAATTAAAGCATCAGTTCCTGTGAACGTTAGTAAATTTCTACCTTCTCTGTACTTCTGAATTGTTTCCTTCTTTTGGCAGTAATCAGGACGTCCTGTAGATGTACTATTTACCAGTGTACAGCAGACAACAGTAGGTGGCAGTAATGTGACTCCAAAAAGTCCAAAAAACAAAGTTAACTTGACCCAGTCTGGGTGGAGATTTTTTCAAACTAAAAAAAGGCTACATGCTAGCGCAACCCTAAATTACCACTAATTGATGATGTGCTAGCAAGGCGCTAAACCATTGTCAATATAGCACCATCTGCAGGTCAGGGAAGGGAAGCTCCCTGCTCGACTGATTAAAAAAAAAAAAAAAAAAAAAATCGAACCAAACTGCAGACTTCCTCCTTAGATAAACAAAAGTCACTAAAGAACCGACCAATGAGAACAGAGGTCTTAAACAGAGGACGTTTTACAGTGAAGTCTGGTGTAAAAAAATGTAAACAAAAACATTTTTACAGTCAGGCGAAGACAGGAAGCTAACGTTCTAAAGATACTGATTAGAACAAGTGGAGATGTTACTGGGTGAGTCGGTCGATAAAATGAAGTATATTTTCACAGTGTCCCTGCTGGTAAATATATATACGTGAAAATATAAGTGTTGACAGTGAGCGTGAACACAACCATAATCACAAAAACCTGAACTCTCTCTGAACCGTGTTCCTCTGTCGTCTCTCCTGAATTGTCCCGTGGTCTCGGTGAACAGTTCCAACGGTGGACACTTATTCATCCAGACCTTCGTCGTCCTCCTCTTCCTGCTTTGTGTCCACCTCAGTCGTGTCAGAGAACTCGTGCAGCAGGACGTACTCGCGGCTGCTGAAGCCGAACTTCAGAACATCCTTTTCCTTCAGCTCGTAGTAACGCTGCGAATCAATGCGCTGGTTGTTCAGGTAGGTGCCGTTACCGGAACCGAGGTCAATGATGTAAGGCTTCACCCTACGGCCAGAGGTGCCGTCGGAGCGCGTGAACTCTGCCAGTCTGGAAAAAATAAACGGTGTGGTTAGGAGAATGGAAACCATCAGATATTTAGTTTTTTTGTTATTAAACACAGTGGAGTTTACTTGTGATTAATCATGATTGTACTAACTCGAAATCAATCATGATTAATTACATTAAATCAACATTCTTAAATATGATAAAAACTTCTTTATATGTATTGCTACAAGAAAAACCACCAGCAGCTAGAGGTCAGTGTTTTCTCACCTGTTTTTATTTGTCACTAACCCAAATGATGGAACTATTTATATGGAAAAGAGTTTTCTCACCTGTTTTTATTAGTCACTAACCCAAATGATGGAACTATTTATATGGAAAAATGTCAAGAAAAATAAATATATACAAGTGAAAATGTAATAAAGAGAGTTTTGAACGAGCTTCTACTTTTCTATATTTACTTTAAATAAATAAGACAACATACAGGAGGGAGGTGGGGGGTAACAACAGTTTCATACCTGTACTGGAACACTGCATGTTGCTTGGAACAGGACGGGTGGTCGATGGGGATGTCGGCGATTTTCCTCTGCCGTCCCAACAGATAGGCGCTCTGTCTGTGAATGTACATGACAGGGAGGGGCTCGTCGTTCTTGAAGGGGTAAAGTCTCCACCTACGTTTGGGAATACGGGCCTCGGGGGGCTCGTTGTACTTGATCACTACTCCGCGGAATGTGTTGGTATCCTCCGTTAGTGCCCCCGACAGTCCAAAGTTGGGTTTCTCCTTGTCAACAGGAGCAGGTGCTTCGTCCTGGTCCCCTCCTTCTGCTTCCCCAAAAGGGAACTCCTGGTTTTCACCACGCCGCTGGTGGTTCCCCCGGCGTCGCTCGTTGTGCTGTTCCCGCTCGGCCTGCTGGGAGGAGAGCGCCTCCCGTTCTCTGCGCCTGTCTCCACCACGGTCTCTGTCCCGTGGTCTGTCTGTTTCCCACCTGCTGCGTCTGTCCTCGGGCCGCTCGTTTCGTCTCCTCCCCTCGTCTCCGCGCGGCTCGTCCCGCTCCTGTGACATGTTTGACAGAAGTGTAGATAAGAGGAGTTTTAAGGTGAGTAAGGGCTGTAAAAACAGAAACATACTGTGATGAATTGAACCAACGACTTAAAACCTAATCACCCGCTTTATTTTGACGTCAGCCCGACCATGAGGACTGCGACTTTTCCTGTTTCGAGGAGATCCGCTGCCTCGTCTGGACGGAGATGGAACTTTTCTCCCTGGTGAGCGGTCCTTTGTTCTGACCGGAGACCTGTATGAAGATGATGATGATGATGAGTGTCACATGACTTTTCATTACAGAATAAGATAACATTAAACCAATGGTTAGTCAACGCTTCAATATGTTTATTAATTAATATTAATATATTAATATAATGGTTGATCTACTTGTGTACTTTTGTCACAAATGTTTGGTTCCCTCACAACAAATACGTCTTACTAATAAGACATAAAACTATTTTTTGTTGTCTTACTAATAAGACATAAAACTATTTACAATACTATTTTTAATCCCGATCAAATGGCTGATAATCATAATGTAGTTGATTGAGTATCTAATTGCACCTAAAGTACTACATACTCGTTGGATAATATCAGAAAAATATCCTAGTGAAGTGTTTACAGTAAGATATTTTTCATATGTTTTCATAATAAAACCCCACAGTACTGTTGTACTTCAGCCATTACACAAAAGCTGCTTCCGTTTAAGTTAGTTCAGCAAAGGCCGCATATTGTGTTCGTTTGTCGAAGTTTTATTTCGGTTATTTTGTAGAGACGTGGCAAAAATTGCGACATTGATCGGTAAATACCTGCTGCTTCTTCTTCTCTGTGGACTCGAGTTGCCGCTGGATCTCGATCTGGAGCGGCGTGATGTCTGTGGCCTAACAGGACTCAGCTTCTCCTGTTTTACCTTCACGTTCAACTCCCGCTCCGGTGATTCTCTTCGTCTGTGTCGCTTTTCTTTGGCCATTTTACACAACATTCACAGATTCGTCTGTTAACGTGACTAAAATGTCATCAAAGCGACAATAACAAACTGCTAACAAGACAAAAAGAAAAGTCGAAACGAAGGAAACGCAAACTTCGATGATATCACGCACTTCCGGTTCTCTCGGTACAACGTCAAAAGGTGTCCGGCGTGAACACGCTGACGATTTCGAGTTCCAACTTTGTCTTTCGCCTAAAAAAATAAATAAAAAATAAAAAACTTATTAAAATACAATTCTTAATTAAGAATACAATTTTGTGGAAAAAAGTGAAAAACAAAAAAGTTTTTTTTCTTTTCTTTTCGAACGAATATTGAGCACGAAAGCATATACGATACTTACAAACGATGCTTCGCACATTTTAAAATGTATCGTTGGATCAAATATTACAATAACATTTTAAAAATAAATTAATGTAAGATTAAAATTCAATTCACGTTGTTTATTTTGCCAAGTATATAATACTTATAAAAATGAACACATGCTCAGACTTGTGGTCGCTGTTGCTCTGTAGCCATGGCAACGTGAACAATTCAGTTCTCACTTTTGACACAAACTGTGACTTTTCCTACTGAGGAACTTCAAATTAAAGTGTTTTACGTTTGATTTTCCGATTTTAAATAATGATCGAACAGAGCAGCTCTCTGCTGAAGTACGACAAACCAGTTCTGGTCAACAGAAGTCCAGGCACAAAATCACCGAAGGTGAGTTTAACATCAGTGTTGTGTTTCAACAAAATGTTGTATTATGCGTTTGTGCGTCGTTAAGACAGGGGTTGGAATACACGGAGGAAATAATTACGTTGTAAAATAAAATAATTATCTTGAACAAATTAGAACAAAAGTTATTTCAAAAATGAATTGCAGGCAAAAAAAAAGTTATTTCAAAAATGAATTGCAGGAAGTAAAGTTTTAAGAAAGTAATATAAAAAATGTGGTTTTTTTAGGTTTAAGTGTCACAAATACAAACCTTTTAACAAAGTCTGGAAAAGGAAATACAACATATTAGTTTTGTGATATGAACATAATAATAATATTAGTATGAGCTGTATTCATGCCACTTACGTACAGTACTGCATTACTGAAATACTTTTTACTCCAGGGCCGGTCATTGAGAGTGAGCTACCAGCAGTCTCTGGACTCAAACCCTGTTCCTCCGCCTCCTAAACTCAAGTCTGACCCCAGTGAGAGCAGCAGACAGGAGAACGACAACATCCTCAACAGTATTTTACCACCAAGGTAGAGTTTGTTTTACTTACAGTACGAGAGGAGTCAAACCCACGATTGTTCATTAGGACCTGTGCTGGTGCAGGGTGTGGACCAAGGAGAACCAAACCTGGGTGCAGCAGGTCTCCAACGCCCCCTGTACCAGAATCGATGTAGTGCGTCTGGAGGAACTCCTGGACAGAAAGCTGCAGGAGGAGCAGGCCAGAGAAACGGGCATCTGCCCCGTGCGCCGAGAGCTCTACTCCCAGTGCTTCGGTACGCCGAGGTCACACACCTGGGTTCAGAGGTCAAGGTCGTCGTCTGTCTCTCACATTTGTGTCCTTTCCTAGATGAGCTCATCCGACAGGTGACCATCAACTGCGCGGAGAGGGGTCTGCTGCTGCTGAGGGTCCGAGACGAGATTCACATGACGATCGCCGCCTACCAGACGCTGTACGAAAGCAGCGTGGCGTTCGGGATGAGGAAAGCTCTGCAGGCCGAGGAGAGAAAAGCTGACGTGGAGAGAAGCGTAAGACCATCGATAGATCTGTCTCAGCAGCACAGACATACACTGAGTAAAAAACACCAGAGGAAGCCCACGTACCACCAGTGGTACATGCCCCACAGTTTTGATCACCACTAGGAAACCCCTAAACTTATATACTGTACATAGTGCATAGTAAATACATTTGTAATGGAGCAAAAGTTTCACAATGCCCTGCAGTACCACCACTTATCCTCTAGGGGACACATTACCCTGCTCTGGGTTGATTTCTTGTCCAGAATTGATCCGTTGTCGTGACTTTGGTTCAGATCCCAGATCTGCTGAATGAGATCGAAGACCTGAAGAAACAGGTGAGTGAACAGAAGGTCAGGTGTGAGGCCACGGAGAAGAACGAAAACAACAAACGACAGACGGAGGAGAAGAGACATTTGGAGGAAATACAGTTCCTGAAGTTCACCAACCAGGAGCTCAAGGTGAGGAATAAAAAAATAACCTTACGTCGTAGTTGAGTTCTGACTCAAAAGTCCTGACTTTGATTTGATGTTTCTTCCAGACACAACTGGAATTGATCATCACACAACAGAAGTGATCGATACACGAGTCATCTGTATTTATTTGAGCTGAAAACATGAAAAAATAAAGAAAAATCAAGATGTTATTTTTGCTCGGTGAATGAAATTATTCTGGAGTGAACGTTAATCTTAAACTGAAACTCTGAAAATGGAATTTTATTGTGACCTGCAGTGATGGCATCTCTCCACTAAATGGCAGTGTGACCACATCAGCGTTCACTGCAAGTGGTTTTTATGAAGTCCATAAAAAAATCACAAAACATATGTTCATGCAAAACCTTTATATGTAACCTTTGTACTTAACATGGCTGAAGGCCGTAGACCTTGGGTCTGAAACAGGGGGTTGCGGCCCGAGGAGGTCCACAGAGGTATTCCAGGGGAGTTCAAATAAATGTTTAGAAAATTGTTGAAATGTTCCAAACATTTGCCTTGCGGTGTATTTTTTCTGCAGTAAACAGAAAGTAAACTCCTTGTTGTGAACAAAATTTTTATTTTTTTAGACATTTCTCTTGAACATCAAGAGAGAACGTCCAGGTGAACTGATGAATGAAACGTCCTTTCCCACCGATGACAGTCGAGGTCGTCCGACTGTCTCTGTTCAGACAGTCTCGGCCGACACACAGTCATCGCCCAGCGTCTGTCAACTCTGTCTCTTTAAGAAAAACATGGCCGACTATCGACCACATTTAAAAAACCAAACAAACATTTATTTGTTTTATTCTGTTTCAAAGCTCTGAACTAGTGCTTTGATCTTTTAGTCTTGGGGCGTTCTGTGTTCGGTGCCGGCATCTTCCTGTCCTTGTTCTTGTTCTTGACGTTGTGCGTTTCGTAATATCGTACGCCGACTTTCTTCGTTTTCTTGGTGCGATCGATGGCCCGTCTCTGTCAAAATCAACCACAGTTTTTATGAAACAAACATTTTCTCATCAGCAGCAGCAGGAGCTCAGAGAGTACTGCAGTACAGTGAAGTACCAGGTCGTACCTGTTTAGATGTCAGTCTCTGCTCCCGACTCCTCTCCTCCTCATCCTCTGATTTCCTCTTCTTACTTTTCTGATTCACTGCTGAATTCAAACACAGATCAGTCAGGTGGGTTTCGCAAATATATATAAAATATCTATACATATAGACAATATATGTATACATAAACACATATATACAAATATATATTTTTACATACGCAAATATATATAAAATATATATGCATATAGAATATATATATATATGCATATAGACTACATAGACACACATACAAATATATATTTCTATATCCGCAAATATATATAGTCTATATATGCATATAGACTATATACTGTATATAGACACACATATATACAAATATATATTTCTATATACGCAAATATATATAAAATATATATACATACATTTAAACATATACATAAATATATATACATAAACACACATATATACAGTATATGTCAGATAGACCTACCTCTGCTCTGGGCTTCTTTAGCTTCCGTCTGTTTTCTCTTCAGGTCTACGAACACTTTCTCAGAAAGTTCTTTGGGAATCCTGTCCACAAAGAAGAAAAACAAGATGAGTCGACAGGGAAGATATTCTGGGGAACTGGAATCTAACTGGAAATGAGCAGCTGCTCTGACTAACAACTGGAACACGAACTTAAGTTCTTCATCGGGACAGACGTAACCGACTGTTAAAGAAGTGCAGATGAAAACAGACAGGAGAGAACAAAGGAACAAAGGAACCGACTGATCCTCCGAGATTAAACTCTGGTTTCTTCAAACCAGACTTAAGTGCGCGGCATCTGCAGCCTGACATCTCCACGTTACTTCACTGAAATACAGCCGTGAGAGCAGAGCAAGAATGTGAGTGAGGTTTTCGACTGACCGGATTTCGGAGAAGCGTTTGGACTTGGCCCGATCCAGGAACTGTTTGTATTTAGCGATCTTCTCATCCAGCGCACGGATCACCTCCCGTGAACCCTTTTTGTTGTTTGCCTTGACAGTCGCGGTGGTTGTGGGTTCGGCGACGTCAGCCTCTCCATCAGCCTGCTCCACGTTGGCTCTGTCCTCCTTCTCCTTCTCCTCTTCTTCATCATCATCAACTTCCTCCTCTGCTTCAGAGCCGGAGAAGTCCGACAGGTCCAAGTCTGGAATCTCCACTGGAACCAGGTCTTCGTCGTTGAACTCTGGCGCCACGTTGATTTTGCCAAAGTTCTGTCTGACGTTGGCCAGAATCGCCTGGAGCTGTTCCTTCTGTTTCTGCTGCTGCGGTGGTTCCTCAGGTTCTCCAGGAGCAGCAGCCTCCACGTCTTCCTGCTTCTCCTCGTTCACGTTCTCGGCTGCTTCTGTGGAGGCTTCCACCCTCAGATGCTGCTTTAATAAAACAAAAATATAAATATAAAAATGGAACAACCTTTAGACAACGATTTGGCAAAAATAAGAATTTGAAGATGAAGCTCGAACACACTCGTACCTGCTGCTCGTCGTCAGGACCCGGCGGTTTGACGAAGAACGGGATTCGTCCTCGCTGCCAGTCGTTCAACACCATTTTGGAGACAGTGGACAGATCGGGCTCCCCCCCCTACACAACAGCAGGAAGACAACAGTCAGAGCAGGTGTGTGGGACACTGAACCACAGCAGGATGTTCGATCAATCGATCGATCGTTCTCCAGTGTTGGGTTCTGTGACGTGGTCTCCTCACCTTCAGGAGTTTCCCAGTTCTCAACGCCAGCTTCTCCAGGAAGTCCTGAGCAGAAGTCCAGCTGGGGATCCGATAGGTCTTCTGAATATACTCCGGCTTGGCCCGCTCCAGGACCGCTCCGATGTGTTCCTCGGGATTCTTGATCTTCTCCACCTGGACCTGAGGTCGGGAAGAGGGAGAACCAATCAGAAAATCTTATCCTCCACATCTCCCCCTTGTGGTAAACACAGGGATAATAAAAGTGGATATTATTACAACCTCTGAAATGCGACTTCAGTAAAAGACTCATGTGACTGAGGTATTAACGGTTGCTACGACGACCGCAGACTAAAACCAAACACTCACCACTCCTTTGAGAACGATGTCTGATTCGCTGTCGTCCGAGGGGTAAACGACGCCGGGGCAGTCGATGAGGAAGATGCGTCTCATCAGAGTGATGTACTGCCACACCTGCAGACGACAGGAAGTGAATTCAACAGCTGAATGTGGGACACGACCCACAGACTAGACCAGAAATGACACGGTCCAGATCAGACGTAGACCATACCTTTGTTTCTCCAGCAAGGGGCGCTACGTTGCAGACCTTCTTTGATCGCAGCGTGTTGATGACTGAACTTTTCCCAACGTTCGGGTAACCGATGAAACCCACGCTGATCTGTTTCTTGTCTGTGTGGAGCTGCGAGAAACGTAGACAAAAAAGTCTATATTATAGATTAATAAAATGAGCTGCAAAGCTGCCATCTAGTGACTTTCACTTGAACATACAGCCGTTTATCCTCAAAACTATTTTTAGGACACATCATTTAGCGAAACCCAGGCATCGCGTTATCAGGTTTTCATTGTCAGAGGAAAAACCGATAACTATTCTTACAGATATTACATAATTATGCTAACATCGGTCGGCCGATATTATCGGACATCCAGCTTCTCATTTTGAACCTTCTGCTCCAGTCATTCCACATTAAAATACAAAACTCTGGTTCAGTACATTTACTACAGCGCCCCCTTTCTTTTTTAAAGAATTTAAAGTTAAACAAAAAACCTAAAAGCTAAATCTGAGCTGCTGAAAAAACATATGGGTTGTGGACCGTAGGAAGCTGCTGGACCTGTTTAGCCAGGTCTTGTTTCTCAGTCACAGGGAAGTGGCGCCCCCTGTGACTGACTCGGGTGATTCATCCAAATTTTTCCATTTAATGAAAGCAGGATTTATTTAGACAGACGCTGTTTGTTTAGTACTGATTTTCAGTCTAACTGAACACGTAATCGGGGAAATAAAACGTCACCGATCTGGAGACTCTGTATTGACAACACAGCATAACAAAGAGGACCTGGGGTCGACAGAAATGTGTGATGTCAAAATGGGGTCAAAACCCAAAAAAAAAAAAAAAAAAAAAAAAAAGTTTGGAACCAGTGTTTCTGACTGAGGTGGATTCCATTTCATTTGTTTGGATTTCTTTCTCACACTCCTACCTTGCCAAACTGTCTGAGCAGCTGGATGAGGGAACCTTTACCAAAGGAGTTGGTGAGGCTGGCGTGGAAAGCCAGCGTGGGGTATTCCTGGGAGAGCACAGCCACCCAGCGCTTCTGCTCCCGAGGTTCAGGGAAGACAAAAAAAAAAAACAGAAAACAGAGCCAGGAGGTAATTCAACACCAGACGCCGTCAAACATGAATTCCAACCATGTGAGGACAGAAAGTTGTTCATATGTTACCGTGACCCAGGTGGGGATGAGATCACATTTGTTGAGCACAAATATCAGATGTTTCCAGGGTTTCTCCTTCTTCAGATACGTCTCTATGCTGCCGGAGCGAGTTCCTATGGGATCACGAGCGTCCAGGACTTGGATGATGACATCAGAGGAATCAATCACCTGTTGGCAGGAAGTGATTAGACGTGCACACAGTTCAAACCATTTCATGTCATAAATCTACACACAGACACAGGCGGCGGTGATAAGAGAGAAACGACACCTTGTAGAGTTCTCCCCAGATCCTCTTGGACTGACCCTTCTTGAAGATCTCCTCCCGAACCTCCTCTCTGATTCAAAATGAGATTTTTTTTTTTTTATATAAAGAATATATTCTTATACCGGTCTTTTGTTTGATGTTGTCCAGACTCAGGACTCACCGCACCCCCGTGTCCTCAGTCACCAGGTCCTTGTCTTTGTCTGCGTCGTAGCTGAGGGCCGAGGCCTCGGCCTGCTCCAGGAGGTCCTTCATATCTCCCACCATGAGACTGGGCCTCTTCCTCTGGGCCTTAGGTCCAAACGTCGTCTCAAAACCCTCAGTGTCCAGTATGTGCACCTTGGAGTTCTGCAATATGAGCGTAAATATATATATATAAACATATATATATACGTAAACACACATATATAAATATATAAACATAAACAACATATACACACAAATATATACATTTAAATACATATAATACATACAAAAAATATGCACATACTTGTACATACATACACAGACATAAATATATACATATATTCAATATGTACATAAATACTAAATACACTGTAACTCAATTATAAATTCAGCTACTTTTTCAGAAAAATAAACTAATATTATACTAATACTACTACAACTAATGTGTTTCACACTGTGAAGTACTGCTGTTTATCAGACCAGAACCATAAGAGTCACAGAGTTGGTCAGTGACTCACGTGAGCTTTGACCCGATCGTTCAGAAGCGACATGGGAAGTTTGCTCTGTCGCATCACCACACGATACGGATCCTTCTGGACGGCTCCCATCTCCTCCTGGAACTTCTGCAGGGACGACTGCTTGATCACGCGGGTATTTGCTTAAAAAAAAAAAAAAACAGAATCATGTCAGAATGATCTGTCACACGCCTGTAGCGCCGCCCTACAGGAACGACCTGGCAGCACAGTGGGTGAGAACATGAGACTTCAGGTCTACACGACATGTAACCCACATTAAAGATGAATGGTCTGCAGCCCAGACTGGCAGACGGTGGGTCGTAGATACTACAGAGAGAAGGGAGTGCACTCACCAAACCATTTGATGTTGGGCTCGACCCTGGCCACGGTCCCTGGGGCCACTGTGGACTGGAACTGCAACGGTTTGATGACTTTACCGCGGTTATTACTGTAATCACATGATCACAGTTAGCGTGAACGTAACATGTGGTGCAAAAGTGTTAGGCAGGTGTTTGAGAAATTATCGATACGTCTCTATATCGGATAATTCGTTTCACGATACTGTATTGATAATTTTATATTTTTATAACAGTCAAACATTCATGGCGTCGGTTCCACATCCATTTAGCCGTCGATGAAAATTTACCATCTCTGTTTCTGTCTGTACATATTCAGACGCTTGATGGTGGTCCGGTCCCTCATGTTGTTCCCACCAGCACCTTTGACTCGATCTGTCAAACACAGACACAGTAGATGACATCGTCACGGTAACTGAGGTAAAGTTTTGAAAATCGTTCTTCAAAAAAAGTCCAAGCCTGGTTTGTTTTGTAAATATTATATTAAAAACAGAGGATATATGGGCCATATTCTTATACATGTACATCGCTGTCATATTTCCTAGCGCTAACAGGAAGTGGGTGTTTTAAATGGCAATTTTGTTTTTTAAAAAAGAAAAATATATTTTTATTATCATTAATAAAGTCTAACTTCGTCTTTGGACATAGAACTTTTTGACTGGTCCTCGTTTTATAAAAACAACACCATATTTGGTCAACACTTATCCTACGTGTATCTGCTGTAATGTAATGCTGTACTGCATTTACCTAAATTAAGTTTATTTACTTTATGAACACGTTAACAAATACGGCTCAAATGACGTCAGTGAACCAGAGAGACAGTAAGTGTCACGTGTGTTTTCGAAGCGGATAACTAATACAAAGTTAGCATTAGCTGTAAACAAACGGTGTTGTCAATGTGCAGTTAGCTCACCAGGGTTGCTGCTGGAGGAAGAGGAGTTTATGGAGCTCTTCCCCTTGAACTGTGGCTTCACCATCTTGACAGCTCGGTTGGTAACCGCCCGCACGGACGAACAGACAACGGAGGGAAATGTGAAGTTTCAGAGAACCGTAGTTTTGGTTGGTGTTTTCTCCTCTCCTCCGGAACGTACACCGTACACGTGTTGTACGGTCAAAAAAGGAAGTACGTCATCCAGGAAGCGACGACAGAAGGAACCAATCGGAGAACAGTTCTGTTGTGACGCAATCAGTGTAGGTTTAATTATGAAACTGTACCAAAAAAGTTTTTTAAAAAGGCTCAAACACAACGTAAACAATTCTTTATTTTAAAAACTAAACACAGTTTTAAACCACGTCGATAACAGTGTTGCACTAATTATAAATAAATAAATAAATTTGCAATAAAAAGAAAGTTTTCATCGGGATTCAAAGATTGTCAGAATTATGTGTTAATATATTAAATTGAAACAAAAATAAAAACAATGAAAACGTAATTTTATATAACGATATTATTTTTAAATTATCATTTGAAAAATTCCTCACAAGCCAAAAAAGTGTAGACACTCCTGCTTCTTTCGGTCGAACTTGTTCTGCTATACTCACTTTATGCCGGAAGATGGTGCAATTCAGTTTCTGATGGGTACGCTAACATACCCTGATAAATATCCGTTCTCCACCATAATTAGCTCGTTATCGCTGTGTGCAGTTGAGACCGGACGAGTTCTGTAATGTGGCAGAGAAAAATTAAAATATATAAAAAATGATAGAACATTTCAAACTCAGTGGTAGGGATTTTAAAATGTTCTGGTGTTTTTCCCTGGAATGATGAAAGCTCTGCGTCATTACAACGTGATGAATCCACACTCAGACTCAGAATAACAAAACCGAGCTACTCATCAGACATTGTTGTGGAAATATGAAAAACCAACTAAATGAACTTTTCCAACCTCATGTGGGTTTTAGTGGGTTCTCAAACACATTCAAAATGAGAATTTAAATTCTTCTCATTTTAATTGTTTCCAGTCTGTCTTCACTGAGCAGAAAGGAAAGACCAGGTTTGTCATGTGGTGCAGGTTTTTTTTTAGAATACAATGTGGTTTCTTGAAAAAAACAAACAAACCCCAAAACATTTAAAATCAACAACAAAAATAAACAACAGACAAAGTAATGTTTCAAATAATGAGGCTGGTGAAACGTATAAAACACTATAGTTTCAGCTGGTTGTTGCGTTGCTTTCATCACTGTGTGTTACACAAGTGTGGCCCTGCGCCAGAGCAGGCAAGTTCATAGAGACTCCGGTTTGGAGAGGAGCCATTTAGAATCCAGTTTATACAGCAGGGAGACCAAAGAATGTTTTCTGTTCATTTTCATACAGACCAAATTGGACCTGACGGCATTAGGAATCCACAGCAATAAATTAGTTTTCAAAATCAGAACCCAATTCTTTCAGGCTGAAATTCTGGTCAAAAGAAGACCCAGGCAGAGTCCGGCCTTCTGTGATGCCCCCTCCACCCCCCCACACACCCTGGGTTCCTTCCTCTCTGTCTGATTACACAGTGGTCAACCACTGACATGACAGCAATCGTCCGTTCAGCTTCTTCCTCTCCTCATGGTTTGTGACTGACAGCTGCGGAGCCTCTAGAAAAGCTGTGTGTTAATAAAATCCGTGTTGTGTTGTAGAGTGTTGTTGAGGCTGAGCCCCAGATCCAGCATGTGTTGTACACATTTTATATTTGGCTGAAAGACTGAGTGATTAAAAAACGTAAGTGAAGCCTGGTCATCAAGCTGTGAAAGATGGAGACTCAAAAAGAAAATTCTTTTAAAATGTGATCAGAAGAATAAAATCCGAAAAAGAAAAATGTTTTTGGGGCAAAAAAATAGATTTTATGATGAAATAAAACGGGCTTCATAGGAAAAACAAAAACAGAAAAACAGAGTTTATTATATTATTACATGGTGGATTATTGACATGGATAAATTAACTTCCGTCTCAGTCTGGAATGAAGAAAGAGTGGACAATACGTCAGCTACAGACAAACGAAAACATAATTTACTCGTTGCTCACTTCAGTTGATGGTAGAAAAATAAAAAAAAGTCTCTTCTCCACCATTTTGTTGTTTCTTTGACTTTCACAGCCATTAAGATGAGGGAAAAAGTAAACGTGAGGTCAGAGTCAGAGATGCTGCTTCACATGTTAGCTAGGACTACACAGGTCATGTGATAACATTTCCTCCCAGCTCATTAGCTGCTGAGCCTCCGCTCGGGGTCAAAGGTAAAACACCAGCGTGATAGTGGAGCGCTGGCTCCGAAACACAAAGATACAATTACAAAAACTCCCCAAAAGTAACGCAAAAACTGCTGTGATGAGGATCTGTCAATAAAGTAGCGTTTGCTATTCTGACAGGTATGAAGAACTGACAGGATACCTAACAATCTGCTGTAGTCCAGAGTCAGAGTGTGGAGTCGAGACGGAACCTGGATGTGTATTTTAGCACTTACTTCAACATTACACTGATCTTCATACGTAGGCTAACGCAAGATGTACGTCCTTACTGCCTCTAGTGTTCACATAACGTAGCTGCTATATTTAGCACTGTGCTAAATCAGCAGCTGTGTGTAGCTTTTGGGATGTACATGACAGCGATAAAGTAAATGGACGATCCTCGAATTGTTATTGTAACTTTTGTGACATCACAAACAAGTAGAATCGGAATGGGTGTTTGTGACACATTTAGTTATTGATAAAACAAACTCAAGTATGTAAACAACGTCAGTTTTAAAAAAATACTTCCCCTTTAGAAAAAAACTTCACCTTTATCTGAAAGTACGTGTCGTATTGAACCAGCTGAGTACTCAGAGCTGTTTTCTTCAGAGAGCGCCACACACTGCTGACACAGGGTCAAGACGTACGACGGACAGACCGCAGGAGGTTTTAGGAATATTTCACACCCAACACTGAGGATATACAAAGAAAAAGAATGACAAGTGAATCCTGGGAAAAAAACAAATGAAAAAAGCCAAGTTTGTAGAAACCCAGCTGGAGATGAAGTGATGGAATATGTTGTTTTTCAACGGACTACGGCTCTCTACTGTGTAAGATCCTCTGTGTTTATTTTTACCAAACCTTAATCTTCCACTTATTTAGTTCACAGCTTGTCATGGCCACGAGATTCACACCACATTAGTCAGAGCCTAATCTGTTGGCAGGGAACGTTGGGAGGCGTTCTTCAAATCCCCTAATGAATGGTGTTAATGGGCGCCGATCTTTGGCACGTAGGACGCTGTTCTTGGGTCTGATAAGCCACAATAAGGTGAAAATGTATTTCTCGGTGTGTTTGACACAGTCTGTACCCTCGGTGAACTTGGCTCGCAGGTCGTTTTCCACTTGTATCAGTAGCCTTCAGTTTGAAGCGTCATTTAAAACGGAGACAAAATATTTACTGACTTTGGACGTCACTGAGAACCTCAGCATCCATTCAGGGTGGGATACATTTACAATTGGGATTTTTTTATTCATTTGGAGGAGAGTCATCGGTGACTTGTGCACACACCGCGACACTGAGCCCGCTCTGTCGGAGAACTTCCTGGGAACAACAACCAAACACACACGTACTCTTGTTTTTCAAACATGAGTACGTGGTAGTCAAAGAACAAATCAATGAGTGCGGTTTTACCAGAAACCATTTGGTCAGCTGAAACCATTACTTTCACCTCTGGTTAGTGTTTTTAGCTTGAAAAGATTGATATCTCCTTGTAAACATGTGGGAACTATTTCAGGGAAATCGGCCTGAAAAAGGTCGCAATAAACACATTTGAAGGAAACAATGTTAATTGCCTCCGAGGTGGTAAACCGCAGTACATGACTGACTTAACTAGTTTCACTGACACACAGCCTAATATATAAATATATATATACGTATATACATATATATATATACATATATATATATACATATATATATATATGTATATAAATATATTCATGTGAAGTGAGTAGAGTGATATTTAAAAACTGATGCCATGTTGACACCACAGCCAACATCAGCATTGTCTGTCAATACAAATAATTGAATCAACCTACAGTTTTACCACTCCCTGCAGTACCTCTGTGAATCCCCTAGGGGACACAGACCACCTGTTGAAGATCTTTATTGTGTAGCATGAAAAAAAAAAACAAAACTAAAAAGATTGTACTCCTTAGCTAAAATGTCAATATGTATGAAGGTAAGTGTAAATATATACATACATATATATGTATGTATATATAGACATATAGATATATACCTGTGTTTGAATTGTGTTAATATTTAGTTAAATTCTTGTGAACACATATATACACTATATATATATACATACTACATGTTATATATTTCTACATATATTTACTCAATTCAAACACATTTTCATTGAAACATATATGTCTATATGTAACATATATGCAACATATATAAATGTATACATACATAGAGTATATACACCTGTGTTTAAATATTGTATTAAATAATATATATTAAAGTAAACAAGGTCACCCCCCCCTGGTCTCCTCTCCCTCGAGCGTCATCTTATAAAAATCATCCAACAAAAGAACATGTATTTGCTGAGTTTTTCTTGGAAACCCAGCGCCGTTGCCCAAACCCCGTCTTGCCGCACCACCTCAGAGCGCTCTGCGGCCAGAACACTTGCTCTGAGCAGCTGGCAGCCGCTCTCTCTTCAGTTCACCTAAGACAAACATACACTTGTCTTGATCCCGAGTCCAAAGATGAGCCGTGAGCCCGGTCCAGAGCTGCCAGCACCAGGGCGTTTGTGCAAACACGGACCTGACCTCTAAATCAGCTCAGAGTGTCGGTAACTGGGCTCCACAGGCGGCGACCGTGATGTAAACTGAAAGCATCGGATACATATAAGTCGTGCGTGGCCAGTTTAAAGTGGGCCGCGTGCCACGGAGACTCTTGGCAACCCGTCGGCTGCACTCGAAATCCAAACAGTGCTCCATTCAGTTGCCACCACCAACCCTGGCCACTCTCTCTGCTTGTGTTGGCTCAACCCGGGGCAACTTGTCTCTAATGCTTATCTGCTGCCCCTTCAGTCAGATAGGGCAACAGAGGAGCCTGTTTGAACAGGGCTCTGGATCAGAGAATCGCCACCGTTGAGGTCATGCTGTGAAAGGGAAATGGAGCGCTACCGTTTCCCCTTGCGTGCTCTGAAA